CACTCCCCATCAATCCTGCTTGAGAGGGGAATATGTGACTGAAGTCACTGCAGTGTCCTGTTCTGGCTAGTCTGCCTGGTCCCAGAATGTCCTCTGTTGGAGCCTCCTTATCTATGGAGGGGTCCCCATTCCTCTCACTCACGGCTGGTCGATGCAGGGCTCCCCACCAGTTCTGCTCTCAGTTCAGTTCACCGATTCTTGCTCTCAGAGCTTTTATGTCTCTATCCCTGCTGTGCAGATTCAGATGCAGCAGCAGCAGGGAATTCTAATCATGGCTTCCAGAGGCGTGTGTTCCAGCTTTAGCACTGAGACTTTATCTTTTCTAGTCATAGCACCGGGATTGCATTTCCAGTTGGTTTGTCTCAGCTTAATTCGTTCTTGGGTCAGTAGGGTATATCTCCTCCTGCTTAGGACTCCCCACACCGCACCATACCTGGATTCTAAGTTGGCTATCTCAGAGAGCCTCTGTAGCTGTTGTTTTCTATACACCATGTTCTCCCAATGAGTCTACAACCATGCATTTTAAAGAACAAAAGAGGTTAATATTGGTGAAGGCCACTTTATAAACTGTTTTCTTTTACATATCGGGCTTTTGGTATCTGTTCTTAAACTCAGCCTAACAAAAGATTACACAGAGAGATTTTCCTGTTTTCCCAAACATAAACTTTTAAAATATTAGTTTTATAGCTATGATAAGTTATGGTTTAATTTTACAGAGTTATGAGATATTAGCTGAAGTTCAGCTTTTTTTTTTAATGGATTTTCAGTGATTTCAAACAGTCCTCTTTCTCTGTTAGTTTCCTTTGTCCTTTGGTTAGAGTTCTGAAACTTTCTCAGAATCTGTCTGCTTCTCTCTTCTCTCTTGTGGATTTGTGTCTTTATTTTTGCCAACACTACATTGCTTTAATTCCTGTGGATTTCTAGAAAGCCTTGAAATCAGGAAGTTGAGTCCCCAATTTTGACTCTTGATTCTACAAATTGAATCAAAACAATTTGATTCTACAAATTGTTTATAATTCTTTTGTGTACACTAGCAGGCCTGGCAAAGAAGGACATTTTAAAATCAGCTTGTTGATATAACACAGTGGATCACATCACAGCACGAGCATCTAAGGACATGTTGAGGATACAAACCTGCTGTTGAGGGCAGGTGCAAGAGCACTTCTGGCACCACAGCTTAGCATTAACCACACCTGTGCTGGTGAAGCATGCAAGAATGTAAATATGTGAGAACAACAGGTATAACAATTAAGCAATAAAAATGCAGCTGCTCTTGCTCTGCTCTGCTCCCTGCTGTGTGCTGTTGTGTCTGCCTCTGCATGCTTTCCCTGGGGATCGCACGTGTGAAAATACTTCTTCAGTTCCCTTGACCCCACCCTGTTGAAGTTTTAAGTGAGGCTGCCAGAACCGACATAAGGATCTAGAGAAGCCAAATATGGCAGCAGTGTTGTACATCCTACATGGTGTGTAGCATGAGTCCCTGCTTGTTTAAGGCTCATTTGATTTCCTTCATGATGTCTTCTGTTAAACAGTGCATTGTTGTTTTATTCTGGTGTAAATCATACTCCTAATGAACATTGTTGAGTTCTCAGTGTTTATTGCAGTGTGTAGGGCACAGTGAGGTTTTGCTGTTTTTTTTTTTTTCCTCTTGTAATTTGATTTGAAGTTTTGCTGTTTTTGTTACTTGGAGTTGGTCTCCCCTATCCTGGCACAGCCTTACAGTGCCAGGAGTCTTCCTGCTGACTTCTGGGGATCCTGTGGATGAGCCCATCCTCTGTGCAGAACAGCATGGTAAAGGTGCTCAGAGATGGCAGGGACGACACTGTCTCTTCCTCTGCAACATGTGTGCCTGTGTGTGTCCCCCCTGCTCTCACCAGGGTGACTGCCAGTGTGGGGTGACAAAGGGTTGCTGCCTGTACCTCTGCTGGCCAGAGGGGAAGCATTCAGTCTTGGACCACTGACAGGGAAGTGGACTGTTTCCCTGAACATCTGATACCAGGCTAACTATCTGATACCAGCCTGACCTATCTCTAGTTCCTAGAGAGCATTTGTAGAAATTGGACTTCATGGATTTTGTAAATGTCCTGTGTATCCATTGATAGAATCGTACTGTTTTCTCCTGTCTGTTCACACAGTGAATCATGCCTACGATCACCAAGTCTGTTGGGTTTTTATCATGAGATAGTCCTACATCCCTGAGATGAACCTGACCTGTCTTGTCCTTCTGACAATTATCGTGTTTGGCTTGCTAATATTTTGTTGTGGATTTTGGGGTCTAAATTATTGGGAATATTACTGTGTTATTTTCTCTCCATGCAATGTGTTGGTCCTGGATATCAGAGTGTGGCCGACCTTTAGAAGGCTTGGCTGTGTGCTCTGCCTTGCGTGTTCTGAGAGAGATGGTACAGAACTGTCACAGGTCCCTTCTTTAAATGTCTTGGTAGAGCACCTCAGTGAACAATCTAGACCCAAAGGCTTCTTTATCAGAATGATTTAAACTGAGAGAGGACAATGAGGACGTGGGCAGAGAGGCCCAGGAGTGGGAGAGTCTTAGGACACTGCATCTGACAAGGACTGAACCAAAACATGAAAAGAAATCTGAGAAAAAGAACCCAGCTGAGAAGGAGCAAACAAGTGAGCAGAGGCTCGCCCCAGAGACACACTGGTGGCACACAGCCTGTGACCAGGTGCTCGGCTCACACATCATTAAGAATGCGGAAGTCACACTAAGGCTCAGCCTCACAGTGCACCTGCTGAAAAGGCCCCAGTCACGGTGTCAAGGCCGTGGAGCAACAGGAGCCCTCCCTCAGCACTGTGGAAATGCAGAGTGGTGCAGCCACATCTCGAGGTGGTTCTATGGCTCCAAACAGCACCAAATATGCTCTTATGGCCTAGCAGTGGCTCCCCTGCTCCTTACCCACAGGAGCTGGGAAGTCAGGTCTACAGGGAAATCTTCGACAGATGGAGACAGCAGTTCCTTCACAGCTGCTCCAAGCTGGGAGGCACCAAGTGCCCTCCAGTGTGTGAGTGGACAGGTGGTGGCAGCACTAGAGAGCATGTAAGGGATGGTATGATGGGTTCCACCTGCACAAAGGTCTGCCAGGCTCAGAGTGGTGCCTGCCCAACGTGGCATTGACCCCTCAAACAGGAGCGTATCTCTCCTACACTAACTCCCATGCTGGCTCCTGGTCCCAAAACAAACTTTCTGCCTCCTTTCTGCGGGTGCCAAGGGGCCTCCAGTCCCCACCTCCCCGACACCGTCCATTCAGGCCATCCCCACCTGGTCCTTGCACTCCCTAGAAGCCCTCCCACAGTGCAGGCCAGAGGCTCTTTATTCTCTCTGTGTCTCTCTCAACTGCACCAAAACAAAACAAAACAAACCTAACAATTACTGAGTGCTGGAAGGGATTATGGAGACATTAACTATCCCAGAGGGGTCTTAGTGCCCAGGAGGCAGGGAAGGCAGCTGGGCCTCCAAGCTGTGTTCTGTGGGAATCCCAGGACTTGGCGCTGGGAAAGGGGAAGGTTTGAGGACAGCTGGAGGTCAGGGTGGGTAGGCTGGGAACCGGGAGCCAGGACGGAGCCCAGAGGGGTATCGGGGATGGAAGGGGCAGATTCCCTGCAGGGATCTGATGGACGCGGGTCAGGTCTGGAGTTGTAGAAACCACAGTGCCAAGGGAGTCCTCCTTGGCTGGGTGACAGCACAGGGGACTGGGGTTGTGAAAGAAAGAGTCTACCTCCTGAGCGGGATGGTGATGCGGCCTGACCAGGGGCAGAGGGGCCCTCAGGTATGTGGCTATGGATTGAGCTGGCTCTGAAGGTGAAGTCTGTTAAAAATAGATGCAGGACGCGAAGGCGGCCTGGGTGTTGTTCTGTGATCTTGGTGTTTGCGTCTCTGTGAGGAGCCCACGTCCTTTCACTGTCCACCCTCTGCACAGACAGAGCATCATGGTCACTCCTACCCCCGCCCTCAATGTCCCGGGCCATGTCTTCCCCATCTTCCACGGCCGCAGATGTTCACCAGCTTCGTCTTCTGGAGAATGAGTGCTGCTTTCCTTGGCTGCCACATTGTCATTATTTGTCCCTATTATCTGCCTAGGATTTATACTTCACACCTCATGCCTGATGGGGGTGGCTGGAGTCTTATTTGTTCACTTTAAACCTTTTCCCTTCTCTTCGCTATTGTGTGTAAAAGTGCTCTTCTTGCAGGATGGTTGGGATTTTGTGTCGAGGACCCGGCCTGTGACTGTGCCCTCTCACCCTGCGGCAGGACTTGCAGCCATGCAGAGTGCAGTGCCTGGGCGCCCTGCAGCTAACCTGGTGTGTTGCTTCTCTCGCTTCCCTGTGATCCTTGCGAGGCTGTCGGTGTGGTTCATTTCTATAACGCCATCTCTCGGGTTAATTTCTCCCATGAGTTCCCCCTCAGACTTGGTAGGTGTCCTTCCTGTGTGTCCTCTTCCTCCTTTTCCTTAATGAATGTGCTGCCTTTCCTACCTTGAATACAAGGAACCGGTGATGACTCCAGAGTGATCCCATACCCTGGGAGGCTGGCAGCTCCTCTTCTGTCTGCTCATCCTGACATGGTGACATCTTCCCACCCATCCGGTGTGCCTGCTGACTTTCCAGTGACCTTCACTGATGGACTGGACACTGCATACTGTGCTGAGCTGCTTGGGCAGTTTATTCTGAGGCTTATGGAAATTTTAGACACAAGTCAAAAGCCACCAGGCCACCAGGCCCAGGTAACTGGACACTGTGATTGCCCCTGTCCCGAGTGACAAGGTCTTCTCCTTTCCCCAGCCCTGAGCTTCCAGGGCTCCACTGCTCTTTGGTGCTCTGTCCTGGACATGGCCCTCACTCTGACCCAGTGACTCCAGGACAGTGAGCCACTGTCCCTTGTGACTCCTCAACTAAGTGCCTCACTCCCAGGAACATCCGTGGCTGGAGGAGACCCAAGTCCACTCAGACCATGTTTCCCTATGAACATGAGAGGTAGAGAATCAGGTAATGGGAAGTTTATTCAGGGCAGGTGACAGAGCTGAGGACCGGGAGGGAGGGGTCAGGGCAGCACAGTGGACATGGTGGGGGCCCTGTCCTTAGGTGGAGGCAGCAGCCTGCAGACCTGGGTTGGGATGGGGTTGAGAGGTCCTATGAGGGGCCTGGCCATGGGGTAACCTAAGCCTGTTGGTGACAAGGCCTTCAGCAGCAGGACTTCTGGCCCAAGGAAAGGCCACAGCAGGCGGGGCGGGGGCAGGAAGGACGGCAGAGTAGGGACACGCAGGAGGATGGGCGGCAGCAGCTGGGCTGGCAGGACGAGGCACAGCAGCAGGAGGAGGGCAGGCAGCAGGCGGGTCTGCACACAGGGCGGCAGAGCAGGGACACGGAGGAGCAGGAGGGCGTGCAGCAGCTGGGCACACAGCAGGCCGGCTGGCAGGGGGAGCAGGAGCAGCAGGCAGGCTGGCAGCAGGAGGAGGAGGCATCGGAGCAGACAGGTGTGCAGCACACAGGCTTACAGCACACAGGCGTGCAACAGACAGGTGTGCAGCAGACAGGCTTACAGCAGGCAGGTGTGCAACAGACAGGTGTGCAACAGACAGACTTGCAGCAGGCGGGCACGCAGCAGCAAGGCTGGCAGGAGGAGGAGCAGCAGGCCGGCTGGCAGCTCGACTGCTGACAGCACGTGGGTGTGCAGGAGCTGGTGCAGCCTGACTGGCAGCATGGGGTGCAGACCAGGCTCAGGCAGGGGGCCGGGGCACAGCAGCTGGGCTGGCAGCAGCTGGAGGTGCAGCATGGGGGCTCGCAGCAGCTCTCTGGGCAGTTGTCCAGCTGCCAGGGCTCAGTGCAAGCGCTGGAGCAGACGGACATGGTGGAGGCGGCCATGGCGGGCTGAGCTGGAGGGGTGTGTGTGTGTGTGTTTGTGTACGGCTAGTGGTGTGTACAACTGAGAATGTCGCAGTCCTTTTATACTAGTCAAGTCTGTGTGTGTCATCCAACCCACCCTCTTCCCTGTTTTGCTTTGAGAGTCTGGAGGATGATCGTCCAGGCCTGTGACTGTCACTCAGCTTGTAAAACCTCCTCTGTGTTGGAGCCCAGGGGTCCCCTGCTCAAGGGTGGGATGGCGCCATGTGCCCTGGCTGAATCCTAACCTGAGCATCACAGCTCCCGCTGACCCTGCCTGATCATTTTCTCAGGCTTCTTGCTGTAATTTCCCTCTGCCTTGACCCTCAGGGGCATTGTCCATGTATTTGATCTTTATTTTTTACTTCGCTTTTGGAGGATGAAAATTTTGACCTGCGTCCGTAGCTCAGGAACTGGCTGAGGAACTATGTGTTTGTTTTATTAGATAACTATAAGTCCTGCTTGGTGCCGTCAGCTATTCTGATCACATGTATAAACATTAGCTTATTCATTCTCTTAACTTCATGATGTCACTGTTGCTATTTTTCCTAGATAGGGAAACTGAGGTTCCATTAAACCCTTGCACAAAACCTACACTTGTTGGCTGAAGCTGCGGGAAGGGAAGCCTTTTTGCCAGTGTCCTTTTTATTTCTGTCTGCATGACATTCTTGTTTATTTTTATTAGTACATGTGTGGCACATAATGTTAAAGACCTTGCATAAAGTTGGTGCCCATACGCTTAATTCCCTTGTTATCCCCATTCTCTGCCCTTTCTCTCCCCTCCCTCCACCTCTTGGTCTCTTTCCCATTTGTGAAAGATCTGTCTTTTTTTGCATCTCCTGAAATGGTCCTGTGATTTTTGTCCTTGCTTTTTAGATTTCTTTGTGTTGAGCCATCCTTGCATGCCTGGGCTGAAGCCTGCTTGGCTCTGATGGCTGGTCTTCTTGATGATTCACTGCGTCTCTTTCCAAGTGTCTTACTGAGGATTTTGCATCTGTATTTATTGACAAGTTTGACCTCTAGTTCTTTTTCTGGCTGGATCCTTTTAGTATCAGGGTAAAGCCAGCTTGCAGCAATGACTCTGGGAGTATTCCTTTCCTTTTGAGTTCATTAAAGAGCCTGAGGTGTCTTAGCGTTAAATCTGCCCTGAAGTTTTTCTAGAATTCAGCATTAAATGCATCCAGACCTGGAGTTTTGCTTTTGTTTTTTGATTCATATTTTTTATTGCTGCTTCAATTTTATTACTTGTTATTGGATTATTTAGGATTTTAAGTCTTTCTTGTTCAGCTTTAATTCTTATGTATCTAGGAATCTGTCTGTTTCTTATGAATTCTCCAATTTATTGCTGCACAGGTTAGCCAAATAGTTGGTAACAATCCTTTTTTTAAAAAAAATTTGTCACTGTTCATTGTGATTTCACTTTTTTTGTTTTTATTCATATGGATTTGGGTTTTCTGTCTCCTTTTTTTCATTAGATTGACTAAGCATTTGTCTATTTTTGGAAAAACCAACTCTGTATTTTTTTATTGTTGTCTTAAGTTCATTGATTTCTGCTCTGATCATTATGATTTCCTTCCATGTCCTTGATTTGGGTCTGGATTGTTCTCATTTTCCTAGGACCTCATGTTGCCTCATTAGATTATTTATCTGGGGTCATGACAGAGCACCCACAGCTACAAACTTCCTTCTTGACTCTGCTTTCCTTAGGTCCCAGATGTTTTGGTGTGCTTGCTGGCATTATTGTTTAGGTTCAGAAGCTGCCTCATGTTTTCAGTATATAACTCATGTTTATTTGAGTGTATTGTTCAGTTTCCATTCTTTGGTTAATTTCTCTGCTTTGTTGTTAATTTCTAGTTTCCTTGTGCTAGAATCTGATAAAATGCATAGGGTAGTTTCATTTTTACGTTTTCTTAAACTTGCTTTATTGGCTCCTTTGTGGTCCTTTTTGGAGAAAATTCCTAGTGTGCTGAGAAGAATGTGTATTCTGGTTTTTTGGGGGGAGTACTCTGTAGATATATAAGTCTAGTTGTTCAAAAGTTTTATTCAACTCTGGTATTTCTTTGTCTAGTTGATCAGATTTGTGATAGTAGTAGTAGATCTTTCATTGTAGTTTCATGTTTGTCTATTTTTCCCAGTAGTACTTCTTTTATGAAGTTATGTGCACTGTTGTTTAGTGCATATATGTTAACAATTGTCATGTTTTCCAGCTGGATTTTGCCCTTATTCAGTATGTAGTGTCCCTGCCTCTTTTGATCTCTTTTGGTTTGCACTTTGTTTGAATATAGGAATATAGAATATAGACCTGGTTTTTTTGGGGGGGGGAGTGGTTCCTGTTGCATGGACCATTGTTTTCTATCTTTTGATTTTTAGTCTATGAGCTTCTTTTTAGGTTGTGTTTCTTGTATACAGCATACTGTTTGATTTCATTTCTTGATCCATTCTTTCTGTCTGATTAGGAAATCAAGACCATACACAGTGATAGTTTTTACTGGTAAGTATTGACTTATTTCTACCATTGCCTTATTTTCTTGTTGCTGATTTTTTATCTTTTCCTTTACCTATCTGCTCACCCTGCCTGGTTCATTCATTCTGTTAGACATTTTGTCACTGTTAGCATCATGTATGTTTTGAAGGTATTCTTGAAAATTACTTGGAGTGCTAATTTTGTGATCATTAATTTCTTAAGCACTCTTTATCATGAAAATATCTTATTTCCCCATCAATTCTGAAAGATAGTTTTACAGAGTATATGAGTCTGGGTTGAAAATTGTTTTCTTTTAGGTCTTTAAATTCTTCATTGTAAACTATCTTGGCCTTTAATTTAACCTCCCTAAGGGTTTCATTCCTTTTCTCCAGCAGCTTTTAAGAATTGGTTCTTTGGCTGAAGCTCCAAATCCTGACCATGATATATCTGGCAAAACTTCTCTTCTGATCATGGCTATTTGGGATTTTCTGTGCCTCACCTATTTGTATGTTAAATTCACTTCCATTTATATTTGGAAATTTTTCTATTATTTAAGTTAACCGGTCTTTTTTAGTGTCATTTGTGCTATCTTCTGATTTTTCACTAATTCTAACTGAACTTAGATTAATCTGTTTTACATCACCTTGGAGCTGTTGGCCCTATTTTTCACATGCATTTTTTGTTTTTAAGGTATCTCTCATTAATTCATCACCAATAACAGCCCTGTCTTTTAAGTCGTGACATTCTCTTTTCACACTGGTCACATCTGCTGCCCGTACTTCTGACATAATTCTAATTGCTTAAATTTCTATTTGGACCCTACTATGTACTCTAATTCTTTTCTACGCTGGTCATTCATGTTTTGCACCATGTTGTTTATCTCTGCTAACAGATTATTAGTGTGTCTTGTAGACTCACTGACTATTTTATTTTGCCTAGTATCTCTTTACTCATCTTTTGTGAGCTTGCAAACTGCCTTACTGACCTGTTTTGTCCCATCCCCCACCCCCCTCCCGCCGCATATCATTTTGAATAATCTAGCTGTGTGGCTTTCGGTTTCCTCCCCTTTAATGCCCCACATACTGATTTGAGGGGAGTTGGCAGTTTTGGAGCCATCGTACTGACTTTTCTTCTCATGTTTCTGTTTGTTTTTGCATTGAGGCTTGGTTATAGTGCAACCTTTTTCTTTATTATGGAGATCTCTACAGGTAGCATCCAAATTTCACTGTTGCCTCTGGGCATGGCTAACTACTGGCTTTTGCCTCTGTACTCAAACTCCTCCATTTCCTTGGGGTGGGAGGTTGCAGCATAGTTGAACCAGAACTCAGTTGTCCCAGAATGGACTACAGTGTCTAATGACCCAAGCAATCCAGATATTGGCATTCCAATAAAACCAGTCAACGGCAACAACTATATTACCTTGGCCATTGTGTTAAAATCAACATCAACTATACAGCAAATACAAACTGAATACTGACAAACCCTGAGGATCAGTAATGCACCCCTCTTAACCACAGAGAAAAAATTTATAATTATGTTGTGAGCACTAAGAAAAACCAAATATGGACCTACTGCTGACTGATAGTAATATCTTTGGTTATTTCTACCTTTTTGGCTACAGTAAAAAATGCTGCAAAGGCACTGGCATCCCAACATCGGTTTGGGAGCTTGTTAAAAATGTAGGGCTTTCTTTTTGAAGTTCTTTAAAAGAACCTCTCTTCTTTGCGTATCCTTGTTGGCTCATGTGGGAACCCTATTTTGCTGTGGTGCTCCCAAGGTGACTGTACCTCTTTGTGTTCCTCCAGTGATGTCAGTGAGTTCCAGTTTCTTCACATCTGTGCCAGCACTTGTTTTCCTTGATTTTTATTTTCTTGTTAATGCCCACCATCCCATAGGTGTGAAGTGGTGTCTCATGATGGTTTTGATTGCATTTTCCTGATGACTGACAGAACTGAACGTTTCTTCTTGTGTTTATTGGTCATTTAGCGTCTTCACTGGAGAAATTTGTACTCAGTCTTTTGGTTATTTAGTATTTGAGTTTTTTATTGAACGGGGGAAATTATTTCCATATCCTTACCAGATATGCGATTTGCAAATATTTCCCCGTTTCTTGGCTTGTCTTTGTACTTTTCTTTGTTGTCTTCACACCTTCCTGGTAATCCCACACAGAAGTTTTTAATTCTGATAACATTCTCTGCTTATGCTTTTTGTGTAATCTATCAGAGTCCATTGCCAAATATAAGGTCACAATGTCTTTCCCCCACATTTTCTTCCAAGGGTTTTATGGTTTAGGGCATTGACTTATTTTGAATTAATTTTTGTGAATTTTATTATTTTTTTGAGTAGAGAACTCTGTCTGTCTCTGCACCATTTGTTTTTTTTTTGTTGTTGTTGTTGTTGGTTTTTTTTTTTGTCTTTTTCATTTTTATCGGTACCAGGCATCGAACTCATGACTGCCTGCTTGCTAAATCCCCAGCCCCTGTCTCTGCACCATTTGTTAAAGACACAGTTCCCTCCCTCTTCAGTAGTCTCTGCAGTTTCGCCAGAGATCACATGAATGTCGGTG